GATGATGTGGCCACTGGCTCCGAGTCACTGAAGGCAGGCTGGAGGAGGACCTGGTTCTGGAATGTGGGTGGTTCTGGGTTTACCAACACAGTGTGCTTAGAACTTATCAGAGAGCCACAGATCCATCAGGAGGCACTAGTGTAGTGACCAGTCCCCCATTTTAGCAGCCATTACAGGCTAACATGTGCTTGCATGACCTTGCCACTTGTGTCCTGGTCACTAAGGTCAGATGCCCTCCTCGTGACAAGGAACCAATCAGAAGTTAGTTGGCGGGGCTATACTTTACAGCTCTGGGTGTGCTTTACAGACAGTGCACAACAGTGATGTGCAGAATATAGCAACTGCCCTGGGAGGGCCTATGGGCTATAACAACCAGTTGACCAATCAACATAGGGCAGGTCACCCAAACCTGAAAGTGTACCAATCCTGAGACTGTTTCACACCCTGAGAGATTCCCAACTCAACATTTTTAGATCCCTACTGACTAGCCCATCACAGAGTAACTTGCCCTTCTGCCCTCTCTTGAGAAACCGGAGACCTCAAGATAAACTTAAAAGATAACACTCCTTGATCCAGGAACTAGCTCACCACATTCCTGCTCAATGTTTAACTGTACAATGCCTAAAGAATGCTTGCTTGAGATAACCTTCCTGTTAAGACATAAGCTATCATTTAACTTCCTCATCCTTTATGTTTATGATGTTTACCTAACTCCCTCATTCTTTATGGTTTTTCCCTTTTAAAAACCCCCGACTGCAGCTACTAGGGGTCGAACTCCTCTGCCCCTGCGAGGGTTATGAGCTCAGCCCCAATGTTCTGGTTCCCCGAATAAGCCTCGTGTGCTTGCATCAAGAACGGTCTCTCTTGAATTATTGGGGCATCGGCTTATCCCGAGACTTGAGTGAGGGTCTCCCCACTCTGGGGGTCTTTTAACCCCTAGACACTCCCCTTACATTGCCCTTTAAGATCCCTGCCTCGAGGTTGCTTGGGGTCTTTTCTCCAGCCATTCGCCATGGTGGCGGGGTGAAGGGCCCAAGCTAATGGATTTAGCTCGTTAAACATCCACAATAAAAGACTCTTTGCTTTTGCATTGAAATGGGCCTCTTGGTGATTTGGGGGTTCAGAATTTGGGCACAACACTAAGGTACTCTTTTCCCCAGCTGGCAGCTGGTACCTATTTGTCTCAGAGATCTAAAGGTTGAAAACTTACAAACAATGTAATGAGGAAGCATCAGAAAAGGGTCCCTTTGGTGGTGTGGCCAAGACAAGACACTGTGAGATTAGTCACACTGTGTAACAGATCTAATGCAAGAGATTTATTAGGGGAGATGGGGAGAGCAAAAAGCCATCTCAGAGTGGGATAGAGATGAGAGAGCGAGCCAGACAGACAGAGAAACTAGGAGATGGAGAGAAGGAACAAGATGGGGGGTGGACAAGACAGAGAACCAATTTGGGGTTGGCTGGGGTCTTTAGGGATGTGCATGTTGCTACACAACTCACACAACCTACAGGGATGCAAATGCTTGGGTTGTCATAAGCTGCAGCAGCTGAAGAAACAGCAGCAGTCACAGCCACCGCAGGTTGGTAGGGATGCCAGATTTACAACAGGCAGTCTGTTGCATGATCAGAAAAGGAGGCATTAGGTGAGGCTTTGCGTCCTGCCCAACAGGATGGCGAATGTGGGAAGGGACTATGCTAGGAGAGCACGAAGAGTATAACTCTTGGGAGTACCAGTCTGTGGGGGTGGGGGGAGGGCAGGAATTTCTCATGATCAGGGGCTTTAAAAGCTACTGTCTTGTGACAAATGTATGTCAGTCATTTTTCTCTACATGGGCATCCTGCTCAAATAGTAAAAACTTTTGCTTTCCCAAATTCTGTGAGTTTGTTATTACAGAGCGAGGGTCTTGTTTATCACAGCTTGTGGCAGGGGCAGCCATACACCACAACTTGCAGGAGCACATTTGCCCCTTTCTCCTTTCATATACATTCCAGTGATGAAATTCAAGTCATCAGGAGAAGCCGCTAAGTGCCTTGACCTCATGAACCCCTGATAACAAGATTCTCAATGGCAACTTTATGTTTCTTTCAGGTGTGAAACAAACAGATTAAAGTACATTTTGCATAGAAACTTGTAGAACAGTCAATAGAGACCAATATTGTGAAGTATTATGCCCCCCTGTTTGTGTATCATTCGTGGCACAGTGAGGGGAACAGGTGAGTCTGATATACTTAGATACTAACCTAGAACTGAATTGCTTTATTTTGTTGTCTTCCTCTCTAAAGGAATCTTCTAAGGGAAATGTCATAGAGCAATTGTGACAGCTAATCTTCGTTGTCAACTAACATATGCAGGAAGAGAGACTTCAACTGAAGAATTGCCTCCACCAGGCATGGCCAACAGACATGTCTTTGAAGCATTTTCTTAACAGCTAATTGATGTGGAAGGTGCAGCCTATTGTGGGTGGTACCATCCCTAGGTAGACTCTATAGCAAAGCAAATTTAGCAAACTATGAGAACAAGCCAGGAAGCAGCTTCCTTCCATTAAGCTACCAGTTTGAGTTACTGCCCTGATTTCCACTTGGCAGGAAGCAAGGTGAGAGAAAACCTTCCCTCCCCTCCCCAAGCTGCTTTTGATCTTGTTGTTTATCACAGCAACAGAATACACACACACACACACACACACACACACACACACACACACACACACCTACCTTTTAAAAAAGAAAAATGTAACACTTATAATAAAAGAAAAAACTTCAAAGGAAATTAACTCAAGCGCTAAGCCTGTTGTTGCTCCATCTGCCTTTCAAAGAGAAAACTGGGGCAACCTCAGGCAAATGTCCCCCAGCTGCTGGGAATTTGTATGAGAATAGTCACAGGCCTCTTTGTCTCTGAGATTATGGACTCTCATCACTCCTCCTATAAGACTCTCTTCACTGGCACATACTACCAGCCACCCCTCCAGACAATTCAACTCCCAGGCTCCCCTGGATTTCTGTCGAAAAGGGGCCCATTCTGAAACACAGGAAAGTCCCCTTGAATCTCAGAAGATGCAGCAGCTGATTTGGCAGTGACCCTGTGCCCTCTCTTCCTCTTAGTCTCTTGGGGTGGTGGTGCTGCTGACTGGCTTTGCATTGTCTCAGGAAGACAGATCAAGAGTCTGGAGACCTGTGATGTCAGAGGTCTTCACCCATAAATGCTTATGCAGTTTGACCTTCCATCCAATACACCCAGAAGAACTGAAGAGCAAGTTTATGGTGGCCTTGCATTCTGGAAAATCCTATGTGCATTGCATTTTCCACCAGCAGGAGTATTGTTGGACAGCACATTATGCATTGACATGGATGTCAAGAACTCTGAGAGGAGCACACATCCTAGTCATGGTGACTGTCATATAATGTCCAGATATGAAATTTTGAGTTGTACTTTGGGATAATAATCCCCCCCTTTATTCCCAGAAAGAGAAAATGTTGAAGAAATGACCTGATGATAGTTTGGTTATAGTAGACGTAAAGAAGAAGATGGAATGTTGACCAGGGTATCCAATGCTATTGTCTTCCTTAGGGTTTCTATTGCTGTGATGAAACACAATGACCAAAAAGCAAGTTGGAGAGGAAAGTGTTTATTTGGCTTATACCTCCATATCACTGTTCATCATCAAAGGAAGTCAGGACAGGAACTTAAACAGGGCTGGAGCCTGGAGGGAGGAGCTGATGCAGAGGCCATGGAGGGGTGCTGCCTGTTGGCTTCCTCTCATGGCTTGCTCAGCCTGCCCAGGACCAGCAGTCAGGGATGGAACTGCCCACCATGGGCTAGGTCCTCCTCCATTGATTCCCCATGGATCATTAAATGAGAAAATGCCTTACAGCTGGATCTTATGGGGAGATTTTCTTAACTGGGATTCCCTCCTCTCAGATAACTCTAGCTTGTGTTAGGTTGACCTAAAACTAGCCAGGACAGTTAAAATAGACCAGATGGTAGTTTCCTGTTAAAAGATTACACTACTCAGGTTTCCTTATGGATAGAGGGAAGGGAAAATGTTAGAACATATGGTGCCATCATTTTACACCTTATAAAGGATCACAGCCATCTTTTTCTGTAGGCATTCTTAACCATTCACATTTGTGAAAATATGACACCCTGCATGTATAAACATGGCCTCACCTCTCTAAAGTCAGATCCCTCTTTTGTTCTGCCTTCCATGTCTTTTCAGCTACCTCAGAAATATAACATAATATTTATGTTATATTGGTATATATATATATATATATATATGTATGTATATTATATACCAAAACCCCAGATGGCATCTGGAGCCCCACCTGTAACAGGCAACTCTAAGCCTTTTCTTTAGGACTTTTTGACTTCCTTACTGTCCTTCCCTACTCCTGGGGACCTGATCTTTTGGGAACACACATGCTACCAGCTTCTCTACCTCCATGAGTGGTGGCAAGTCTGGCAGATGGAGACTCTGGTTCAGAAAGCTTTATCGGCATACTGTGTACACCCATTGGAGTCCCAAGAGGTCCTGGCATGGCCACTGGCTACTCTCAGCCAGTCACTTCTTAGATCTCTACATACATCTATGACTTTGAAGATGCAGGTGGTGGTTCAAGGCTGTAGAATAAAAAAGGCTAACTTAGGACATACCTTTTGGCCTGGAAGCTGAGTAAGTCACAATAAAATATAAATGTTATCCTTGATTCCTAATTGTGTCCTGGGACAATTAGATAAAGATAAATAGGAGATACTGCTGAGACAAAAGGAAATTGAACATCCATAAACTTGTAAATCAGTGAAAAGTATCTCTGTCCTAAAAGAAAACATTTTAATTTTAGAAGATATTCAGAAGTAAAATATATAACCTTCAAGTACACATACAACATTAAAAAATTTAAAAAAAATGAAATAAGTCATTCAAGCTAAGTTTCAAAGCACATTAAAAAATCATGACAAAAGATACAAAAGTCGGCTAAGTGAATAGAAATTCATGGCGTACCTGAGGTTCTTCAGACGATGGCTCTAGGGTGCACAGTCATGTTGTTTATGAAGAACACACTCCGGATGAAGAGGTCTTCAGAACTGGACACAGGTGGAAGAACAGTTGTCAGTCTCAGGCCCCAAAACTATCAATAGCTGTCTTTAGCTTTCTCCTGAAGGGGGTGTTGGTGGGTAAGTTTTTGTCTCAGCTCTTGCGAAAGGGAATTGATTTTGTCTTCCTTCATCAGACTTTCTTTGATTGATCTTTCTTTTTTTCTTATTTATTTTACATACTGGCCACAGTTTCCCCTCCCTCCTCTCCTTCTGCCCCATACCCTCTGATACCTGGTCAGCATGAAGGCTGGAGAAGCCTACTTATGTTCACCTTTGGAAAGACTAATGCAAGTCTGTGATCTCACATAAGCTCAGGTTATCAGACTCTGTGGGTTTACCCATCATGATCTTGACACCCTCCATTCTACACACACCCCCATCTACTCCTCCTCCATTTCTGTTCAAAAGGGGTTAGGGCTCCCATGGGAGAAACAAAGCATGGCATATCCAGTTGAGATAGGGCCAAGCTCCTCCCCCTTGGATCAAGGCTGGTGAAGCATCTCATCATTGGGAATAGGTTCCAAAGGGCCAGGTCCTGATCCCACTGCTAGGGGTTCCACAAACAGACCATGATACACAAATGTCACCCAGATGCAGATGGCCTAGGTCAGTCCCATGCTGGCTCCCTTGCTGTCAGTCCAGCTAAGATTCCTAGCAATAGCGGAGAGGGTGCCTGAACTGGTCTTCCCCTGTAATCAAATTGGTGACTACTCTAATTGTCATCATAGAACCTTCATCCAGTAACTGATGGAAACAGATGCAGAGATCCACAGCCAAAGCACTGGCCAAGGTCTGGAAGTCCAGTTGAAGAGAGGGAGGAAAGATTATAATGAGCAAGGGCCGGGGGTGTCAAGATCATGATGGGTAAACCCACAAAGCCAGATAACCTGAGCTTGTGTGAGCTCGCAGACTTTGATTAGTCTTTCCAAAGGTGAACATAAGTAGGCTTCTCCAGCCTTCATGCTGACCAGGTATCAGAGTGAGGTTCTATTTGCATAGAGCTTGTGTTCTCATAAATACCCTCCACAGATTAAAATGTATGAAGTGTCTGGAGGACCTGATTCTCTGTGTCCTTGGAAAGGAACACTGTAGCTTATGTTTCCTCATTAAAGGTAATATTCATTGGATTTCTATACTGTCTAGTTCATGATGGAGCCCCTAGAGAAGACTACATTATATCTCAAAAACCTGAGACTATTACTATTAATTTCTGAAAATAGCATTAAATTTGTAAATCAGTTAATTGAGGATTATTTTATCCTAGATGTGTGGACTGAGCCAGTTTAGTTACAATTATCTTTTAAACACAGAGGAAGCCATTAGGGTTGGTGGCACATGCTATGAGACAAAAACTTACATGGCCATTGTAACTATGATGGCAGAAATGGATCATTAGCCAAAGAATTTCCACAAAGATGATGAGGCTCAAAGTGGGACACCTTATGGTTCTATCTCTTAATGGGTAGAGTCAAGAGGTCCTTGAATAACCATGCAGAAGAGGGTGCTAAGAACAACTGCATACAATAGTCAATCACATCTGCCTATTGATGTGTCCCAAACATACAAAAGGAATTTGAGTTAACAGAATGGTTCCAAATGATGGCCATAGCCAATTTCCAATCTGTTCCTTGATGATGGATATGTCATTGGAAAATCAGGTGAATACTAAGCTCCATGGTGCAGGACTTAGCTCAGAGAAACAGGGGTAAGACCTTTCAAATGGAAGCCTTCAACCAGGTACATCTGTTCCATGATGTACAAGAACTGGATTACCCCATACTGTGAATGTGTGGGATAAGATTCATGAACCAAGGGAGAGAATTGAACCCTATAACAAGGTGTTTCAGAAACTGAGAGAATAGTTGTTTAGAGCAGTATAAATAGGGGTAGCAGATCCAGAAGCTAAGCGAATACTCATAGAATCTTTAGCTTATGAGGATGCAAATCCACAATGCAAAAAGATGCTTTGGCCCTTAAACATCAGATCAGCAAGAACCATTGGATGAATGGATCCTGTACGCAGCCAACATTGAGTATAATGATTATGCACTGAAACTTGGGTAGGAGAAGCCTGTTAGCATAATGTTATTTATTTGTACTCTTAATTTAGGTCATTTATCATTTGTAGAAATTTGCCAAAATATATGTTTTTTGATTCCTCCATGTACATTTAATTCATCCTCTGTAGCTAATCTACCATTCAAAGTGGTATGATTTTTTACAATAGGCACTGGATTTTCTAATCATCCTGGGGAAGATTGTTCTCCCCTGTGACTGGAAATGACTGGGCCTTCGAGAGCCCACACACACACCAAGGAGTTTCTCAATTGTAAAGGGTTCCTTGCTTGTCTCTGGTCGATCTACATTCATTGGTCCAGTGTTATCCTTTGCCCCATCATCTACATAACCCAAAGGTTGAGGCCATCTGTTTGATTCATTTCTAGAAGAAGCATTATTTCTAGGAATGCCTCGTCTACAATTTCTTCTAGATGTCCTATTCTACTACAATTAAAACACCTGGTATTTTGATTCTTTTCAAACTTTTGGAGATTGTTTCTTCTACCTAAACTTCAGTAATCCCACAATTAAAACATCTGGTATTTTGATGTCTTTTCAAACCTTGGAATTCTCCTGTATTCTTTATCAAAAATAAATCTAGAAAATGGAGAATGTTTACAAACCTGAGAGTCATCAATAAAGAATTCAGCTTACAGGCTCTCTACAGCCTGGAATGCCCTTGCCTTCTCTAATACCTAAAGAATGGCCTGTTATAGTTAGCGATTTAAAAGTCTGCTTCTTTACCATACCATTACAAGAAAAAGGTAGGGAAAAATTTGCCTTCAAGGTGCCAACTTAGAACAATTCTCAGCCAGTCAAGACATATCAATGGATGGTCTTGCCACAGGGAATGTTAAATAGTCCCATCCTGGGCCAATATTTTATGCAAAAACCATTAGAAATAATTCATAAACAGTTTCCACAATCCATAATTTACCATTATATGGATGATACACTTTTGGCTGATTCTAAGGCAGAAATGTTAGAAAAAATGTTTGAGGAAGTTTTACCTCACTGGAAATTACAAATTGCCCCTGAAAAAATACAAAGAGGAGATTCCATCAATTACTTAGGATATAAAATAGGTCTACAGAAAATTAGACCACAAAAAGTACAGATCAGGAAAGAATGATACCAGACTCTTTTTTTTCTTTTTCTTTTTTCTTTTTTTGGTTTTTAGAGTCAGGGTTTCTCTGTGGCTTTGGAGGCTGTCCTGGAACTCGCTCTGTAGACCAGGCTGGTCTAGAACTCACAGAGATCTGCCTGCCTCTGCCTCCCAAGTGCTGGGATTAAAGGCATGAGCCACCACCACCCAGCGATACCAGACTCTTAATGATCGTCAAAAATTACTAGGAGAGATTTCTCAACTATAGACTATTGTTGGAGCAGATGGGCATGATTTGAAAAACTTGAAAATTAACTGAAAAGGGGACAAGGACTTAAACAGTCCACAAATATTATCAGCTGAAACTGAAAAGGAATTAGAATGGGTAGAAAAGAGAATACTAGAAGCACATGTGGACTATGTGGATCCAAAACTAGACTGTGTTCTTGTTATATTACCATCTAGAGAATACCCTTCAGGGATTTTGATTCAGAGAGAAGATATCATATTAGAATGGATATTTCTACCATGTAAACAGAATTTTTAAAACCCTAAAAACATATACAAAAGATTTCTGATATGATTTTAAAAGGTAAATTAAGATTTCGTCAACTGACAGGAAGGAACACAGCAGAAATTATAGTACCTTTAGCTAATGAAGAAATTTCCTCCTTATGGAAAGATAATGAATATGGGCAAAGAGTTTGCAGTACATTTTTGGGAACAATTAGCAACAACTATCCCAAAAGTGAGAGATTAAAATTCATAAAGAAAATAATTTGGATCCTTGCACAAATTGTAAGAAAAACGCCAATCTACACTGATGCAAACAAATCAGGTATGGCAGAAAATAAATCAGGAAATATAAGTAAAGTAGATCAAAGTCCTTATAACTTTGTACAGAAGGCAGAATTGAATTCCATTCTCATGGTACTTGTGGAATTTACACATTGAGACTGCTGAATTCATTCCTGATTATACAAAATTAACTTCATTGTTTATACAATTACAAGAAACAATCAGGAATAGGACTCATCATACATGATATATATATATATATATATATATATATATATATCACATCAGATCCCATACAGGTCTGTCAGGTCCACTAGCACAAGGAAATGGTGAAATTGATCATTTATTAATAGGAACTGTGCTGGAGGCCTCAGAATTTCATGAAAAACACCATGTGAATAGCAAAGGTTTAAAAAGAGATTTTTCCATCACTTGGCAGCAAGCTAAGGAAATAGTAAAAAAAAGTCCTACTTGTTCCTTCTATAACCAAACTCCTTTACCAGCAGGTAGTAACCCTAAAGGTATACATAAAGATGAAATTCGGCAAATGGTCATGTTTCACTAGGCAGAATTTGGAAAATTAAAATACAATAGATGCATTTTCAGGGTTTTTTATCTATTTAAATTAAAAACAAGCTTGTTTTACATGTCAATCTCAGTTCCCTCTCCCTCCCCTTCTCCCCTGTCCCCCAACAATCCCCTATCCTATTCCCTTTCTCCTCCCCAGGGAGGGTGAGGCCTTCCATGGAGGACCTTCAAAGTCTGTCATATTATTTGGAGCAGGGTATAGGCCCTCCCCCATGTGTCTAAGCTAAGAGAGTATCCCTCCATGTGGAATGAGCTCCTAAAGTTCATTCATATACTAAGGATAAATTCTGATCTGCTACCAGAAACCCCATAGATTGCCCAGGCATCCTAACTGACATCTACGTTCAGGGGGTCTGGGTTGGTCCTATGTTGGTTTCCCAGATATCAGTCTGGGGTCCATAAGCTCCCTCCCCACTCCCCCACCCCTCACCCTCATTGC